AGATGTTCTGAAACAGTTCTGATTTTTTGAGATGAATGTTGATATCAAAACCTATATTATGCTTTTTACTTGCTGAACACAAAAAAAAGAGACTACTTTAAATCAAACTCAGACACCTTTTTTTTTTGAAAAGGATTGTGAAATTCTTGTGAAGATGTTGTAGGAAGGGGTGATGTAAACTTGTCCAGTAGGCAGTCAGTCTTATACCTTGTCATACCAGTCTGTCAGTGTTTTACGTTTTCAAATCCTATATATGTTAAAGATAGAAATATGCAGGAAGGTAGGTGGTATGGAGATGGAATGAGACACAAATTATCTAATAAAATAGTAAAATGTGCAACTCTGGACACCTACATTGAAGTTTAAAATTTCTCAGCTGACTGAGTTAAGAACTAAAACAGTGATCTTTGAGTGTTTGGTTTGTTTTTGTGTTGTGTGTGTGGGTGTTTTGTATTTTTTATACACCAGTAAAATGCAAGTCTAAGCTAGATTAACACCCTTGTTCAGTTCTTGTGTCTGCTTTTGGGAACAGTTAAAATGTAGTTATGGTAAAGGCCAAAAATTATAGAAAGCCTGAATTCGTTATTTGTGACCTATTATAGTTCATTTAAAAGGCACCATTTTTTCTGAATAATTGTATGTTTTATGCTGTTAGGACAGCTCTCAATTTCATTTAATAAAAGTGATAGCTCTAATAGCTTCATAGCATGGAGCAGGAACACTATATGGAAATGTAAACTAATGTTACTTATTTGACTTTGGATGTTTTAGTGTTGCATTCTGAAAAATGTTCAAAACATTCCTTCTATGTATCAGGTTTGGTGATTTGTAGAGGAAATTTGGTGGTTTGTCCTGTATGTTGTATCCATTTAAGAGAAATCAAAAAAACAAAGAACAGTCACGGTATATTCTGTGTTGACCCAAGAGCTGGTATGAGAAGCCTGTAGCGCTCCCCCCCCCCAATATATATTTGTGGTTCTCCCTCATACTGACTTCATTAAAGAGCATTGGGGGGGGGGAAGTCACAGAAGGAAAAAGGTGGAAGTTGGATGAAGAAAATTGTTTTAAAAGGAAAGTAATGGGAAGGAGGATAAGGGTGTATATAAGGAGGCATTATATTTTTTTGTTTTTCAATCTCCTTATCGCCTGTCTCAAAAAGAAAACAAAGAAACCTGTACCAGGCCCGCTCCCTTCTTAGAAAGGCAAATCATTTACTGTGCTCATGGATTCTGATTTCAGTAGTATTTACTGAAACTGGTTAGGATTTTAATCTCTTTAGTGTTATATAGGAGTCTCCTCTTCAGGGAGAGCTGGGAGGGAAGGGAAAAGAAAGGAAAGAGACAGGTATTGCTTCCATAGTCAGTCTGTCTAGCCTCTGGTTTTTCTAATTTTGCTCTAGACAAAGAGCAATGTATATAATCTGAAACTGAACTTAACTGAATTCTACTGAAAATAGATCTTTCCTGTAGTTGATTACTGCTGTTAGTTTATTGTAAAATTGGGATAAATAAGCTCTTTTTTTCCTGAAAATTTTGTGTATATCATAACTTTCTGCATAATAGGGATTAAAATTCTTCAAAGTCACTTGTCTTTAAAACATTCTCTGTTTCCTGTATTCCCTTCTGCTAAAAGTGTACTGAGCTCTATAAGTCTTCTGTCCTTTGGTAAACAATACTGATTCTAGATCCTGTAACAAATTGGACTTTTTATTGCTCTATTAAAAGAAACAGAAATAAATCCATGTCTCTTGGCAAGTGGAAAAGAGAAGAACCCTTTCTATTTAGGGAGCTATTGATAAAGTTTCCTGAAGGTGCAAACTTCATAATAGTCTGGTGAACAAACACCTACTACTAGCAAGACTGGTACTCCCTCCAAGACTTATTCTGCTATTGTAGGCTTCATCAATACAGAGTCCTGCGATCACTGTTATTGCCAATTCCTTCCATTCTCTTAGTCTGTTTTTGACTCTGATACAGTAATGTTTCAAATAATGTATTGCACAGCATAAACTTATACACAACAGAGGTTTTTAGTCATTTCCTATCATAAATATACATTTATTTTGTATAAAAGTTACTGTGATAAATTCTCAAAAGTTGAAATAATACAATATTAAAGCATTGTAACATAAACATTGACTCTTGAATGTATTTTTTTATAATTTGTTGCAGGGTGTGGTAACAATAACCATTTCATTTATGATAACTGCTTGAATGCTGGCAAGGTAGTACTATTTGCTTGGGGTCCTATTCTACTCTTAATTACATGCATTAGCTATATAGATCCTGTTCAAATCAATCCATTTCTCATTAATTTTTCTTTTTTTCCTGCTTAAAAATACATTTGAACTTGTTAGTGTGTGACTTCTTACAGAAAACTGCCCAAAACAGAAAACAACAGAAATGGTGTGGGGTGCCTTTTGAATTGTGTAATTTGTTTGTATACAGCGATCTAGGACAAGGCAAGGAAAACTCGTGTAAAATGTGAGAAATTGTTTAGGTGAAACTTGTCTGTGTTCAGTCTATATCAGGTTCTTTTCAGAATACAGTCTTAAATTCTTGTCTGAGGCTTACATGTAGTATAGAAACTTGATACTTCAGCAGATAGTGTAAAATTAATGTGCAGTTCAGAGTTCGGACTCTAAACTTCATATGTATATATCTATTTGGGAAGAATTCAGAGCACCTAAATTGCATGACTAAAATCAATGGAGTGAATGCTTCCTCTTCATTATCTCTGTTTTGGCCTTATTCAAAGAGCACTAAGAATTGCATAATCTTGTCCACTGTAACTTGCACTTGAACATGATTTAGATGCTAAAATGAGGTATTAGCAGAAAAAAAATCACTTCTATATAAGTATGGGCATGCAGCACTTCTCCTGAGGAATTAGTATGCATTTAACAGAATATTTAAATAATTTAAAAATATATGGTTATTGTTACAAAAAAGGAAGTTGTCTGTCCATTATCATGGTGTATTATTTTGAATATTCTTCCTGGGGGGGGGAGGGGGAAATTATTTTAAGGTATGTTCTGAATCAGTGCAACTTTAAACTGATTCAACAGATATTAGGGCGCACTGGAAAGTATTAAGAGTGCCAGACACTAACTGCAGTGCCACTGCCCCAACCTGGGTATGACATGTTGTATGCTGCTGGTACTAGGCTGTCCTTTTGCATAGAGGCTCCCTCAGTTTTGATACCCTATTAAATTTACTGGAGATCTTCATGTGCACCACACTTCATCTAGCTCAAGCAAATTGGAAGTTCTCAGTCCAGGGTGAAAGGCATAGTAGTGCCTATTTTCTGTGCTTGGCTACTTTGTTACACTTTTTAAAGGTGTTGCTGGGCATGCAATTTGGCAGAACTGCTGCCGTTTGGGCCATGCGCTATATTTGTGTAGGTAGCAAAGTAGTTTGGAAGGGGCATAAAGATGTTCAGTTATCCATTATCTTTACACTGAAGCATTTGTGTGTGTGTTTTTTTTTTTTTGTTTTGTTTTGCTTACATGATCAGGAAGAAAGTGTATAGATTTTACTTTTTTTTTTTTTTTAAATTGTGTGTATGTGTTCTTGTGTGTGTGTAGTTTTTTTGTAAATTTGGTTGTTCTGTTGACCAACTGTGATACAATTTTGAGTTGCTATTGTATTGATACATGATATTTGTAGGTTTTTTGTCAGTCTTTGTATGCCTTTCTGCCTTTGTTAAAGGAGATCTGTAAATATAAACACATAGTTTTCTGTATTTTGTACATGATTTCAAATTTGACACTTATACTTGCAGTAGTTAAACAGTTAATTAGTCAAATAATTGTTCTATTAGTATTACATTATTAATTAAAAGCTAAATAGTTAATCCATTAAAACAACAACAACCTGTGTTAAACAGCAACCTTCATATAGGATTTCTATAGTGCAAAATAACTGTTCTGTGTAGAGCAGGGAATAAAATTACAACTAACTAGCTACTTCACGCTCATTTATTGCCTTTATTTAAAGGGCACCAATTGTGAGATAGATCACTCTGCTTTAAGTGGAATATACTGTCCTCCATAAAGGGACTGGGAATGTCCACACAGTCAGTTGAGAATAACTAGCCTATTGTGAAAGTGTATACAGGGATATGTATGATCTTAAGATATAGACAACTATTTAACACAGTAATGATAATCTTCTAGAGAATGGAGTGTAAGAATTTATTTAGCATGTTCTTTCTTTTTTGGTGTTCTAAGGTTTGCTGCCTATGCTCTTATTACCAAATTTTTACAATATAATTGCTCATGTCCAAAAGCTTGGATAATATATCCTGAAGAAGATTTCATTGCTATAACTTGTAGATATTTTATTGTAAAATTCATCTAATGATATATATCATCTTTGATCAATTTTCTTCTTTTATTGCTCAAAAAAGCCCAATTTGTTGAAACTGCAATTTTTTTTATAAGTCTGTGTTTTAAGACAACTTTTATTAGGAATGTTTCTTAACTCTAGGATGAAATCTTTGCATATGAACACACATATCAGTAGTCTGAGCATTGAGGGTCTTGCCTAGGATGCTGGAAGCTCAGATTTGGGTCTTGAACTGAATCAAGAAAGCACAATTGTAAATACAGAAAAATGTGTATGTGTGCAAAGGATCAGTTAATGATATATAAATGACTTAAATTTTGCTGTTTTCGAGTTCTTCAAGCTATCATCCTGAATGTAACATTAATATTTCTTCAGTGATTGACTTTTTGCTGAATAATTCTATGGTGTAATGATCTATAATTCTACTCGCTCACTTACCTGATTTTCTTCCTGTTATTTTACTTAAAATCAGGAGTGGAGGTTACATCAATCTCTCTTCCTTACCTCTTAGTTAAAGTGCCCCCCCCACCACCACCACTCCTTTCTGTACTCCCTCCAGTACAAGATGGAAAGATATGAATAAGGATAAGTGACAACAAGCAAAAAAGTTTGTGCAAAGCTTTTAATTTTACGTATTAATTTTATTCACAGACCACGATGCAGACATCTGAGACTGGGTCGGACACAGGGTCAACTGTGACTTTACAGACATCTGTGGCTGGCCAGGCAGCAGTGCCCACTCAGGTAGTACAGCAGGTATCAGTTCAGCAACAGGTATGTGTCTATTAATTTTGGGAAAACAAAAACCCAGGCAAGGCAGAATGATGCATTTCCACAAGTGTAGTCAAGAACTGATTTTGTACAGGGCTGCTAAAGGAATTATTTTTACCTGTCTCTATCAATTTTATTTTGCTGGAGCTAAAATAGCTACGTAAGATGTACTGTTTTCAAGATTTATTCCTTGAACTAGAGTATCTGGCGTCCACCAGAAGTACGTACACATGATTCTAACAGTAGATTATTATGGCATCTGTGTAATATTTCATAGCAGTTTGCATTGTTACTGGATATTCACATTTATTCCTTTGAGAGGTTGGTAAGGAATATGTTTCTGATATTATTGGCTATATTCTTTCTCCTTTTATTTGGACTTTGACATAAGTACAATATAGATTGTAAAATACAAAAGCAATATTATTTTGCACTTCTAGCTGGATTCCCTTCAGATTCTTGCACTCCAGAAAGGTATTTGAAGTAAGACTATGTGTAATTCATAATGTGGATTTATCAGAGAAGTATAGAGGCTTCTGAAGCAGCCAGCTCAGCGCACGCTTCTGTGACATGAGATGATTAGTCACCTATGCAGCCTCCCCACCACCATTAGAGGGAGTGGTGGATGGGAAGATTGAGGAGGGAGAAGGTGGAGTTGGAAAACGGGAACTGAATGTGAAAGCCATGACTTCTGTCAAGACTTTTCCTTTATTACGTGTAACTTAGCTGTCAGGTCTTTTTAGGTTTTCTGGGTGATATTTGATGATGATGATGTTCAACATAAATCAGGTTTATAGTTTCAAAATCAAGTTATTCCCAGTTTTAATATTTCTGTTAAATCATACAAATCTTTCTAAATTAAAACTTCAAGTATTTTGTTAAGTTTAGTTTTAAAGTTTCAGATGATTAATTTTTCTGCATGTTTTTTTGCAATGTGGTTCCACTGTCTATTACATTTCACTAATAACTTTTCCTGATATACAGATTCAATTCATAACGTCTCATAACTTCATTACTATTACTTCTACTTTATAATGTACCTTGCGGAATGCATTTACGTGTTTTTTTTTTGTTTGTTTTTTTTTTAAACACCTGATTCGGCAAAACCTTTAAGCATTGGGCACTTAAAATACTTTTTAAAATGCTTATCTCTGTGTACTTGCTCAAAGTTCATCCCTACTAAGTTAAGAATTGGCTGAAATGGTTTTGCTCAATTAGGACTGTTATAGATCTCTCTAACTTGTATCTTTAGCATACCATTACAAAAGGCCTTATCCTGATGATGTTGCAGATGAAGCTTCCATGATGCTTGTATTTAGTTAAGCTTTCTAGGAGGCTTAGTCTGGTTAACTCTTTCTAAGCTTTGTTTAAAAACTTTTTAAAACTAGATATAGTCTGTGACTTGTACTTTGCTATTTCTTAGCTTTTCAGATGAAAGATGGAGATTGGATAGCGCTATGCGGATGCTTGTTTTAAGCAAATAGAATATAAACACAATGGTCTAATATGCATTGGACTTGATCCATATGAAATACTGAGCAGTGTGCCAGACTGAAGATTGGTAACCAGTCAGTGGCATAACACACATTCTATGATATTTTACTTCTGATCACTAAATTCAGTGACCTGCAAGGATGGGATCTTCTACACTTATTTCTAATACAAATGATCAAATGTGTTTTATGCACAAGCAGCAGAGTCTGTAGTTATTACTTCTTTCTGCAAACTTGCACATAAGCAATAAAGATGATGTAGACAGTAAATAATACATATTTTTCTGAAGTTCAGACTTTCAGTCTTCATCATGCAATAACACTAGACTTAAAGTATAATCAAGCAAGGAGATTAATGAATACAGGAAGCTGAAAATTTTGTATTATGTTATGAGAGTTTCTAAAACTTGCAGCCTCTGATCAACCTTACTTATCTTTCAGTGTTAAAATTTCCAAGAATTCTATTATTCTATTTCACTGAATTACTTCATCACTTCATCTGGTTTTTTTGGACTCTTTTTTTTTTTTTTGTTTTCCTGTGATTTATGTTGGATTGAATGTTTCAGGTTTTTTTTGTTTTATGCATCAATTTGCACAAAACAAATCTTTGTATTTGACATATATTGTGACCATAGCATTTGGAAAGAATTAAATCATTAAAGTGGAGATGCACACTTTTGCCAATCAAGATTGGAGCTTAATGCAAAATTAGGCTTAACATATGAACAGCATTAAATGACTGATAACAGTTCATGAATTATAAATATGAACATGCTAAGAACATTGCAGCATGTGCTATTTAAATGCTGCTTTCCAAAAGTAATCCAGGCTAATGTATTAAAATGGTGTGTGGTGGTGGTTTTTTGTTTGGGTTTTTTGTTTTTTCTCCTCTGAGAATAGAAAGCTTTTTGTAGCCAACTCTTCCTCCTCTCCCCCCCCCCCCCCCCCCCACCGGGGCCCAAGCACTGTGGTTGATTGCATGTTTTCTTTTAAATAGTGTTTATTAAGTCTTTACTTGATGTTTTTCTCTCACCTTATTAGTACTTTTAATATGAACACTTATCTGAAATCAAAATTCTATACAGTTTTATCTTGCCTTAATATTAAGAGTGTGGTTGTTTGGGGAGGGTGTCTTTTTTGTGGTGGGTTTTTTGTTTTTTTTTTGTTTTTTAATTTGGGAAACTGTAGTTCAAGTATACTGTTAGGGGATAGCAGGCCAGTGTCAATTTATATAATGGTTCACATGGGAAATAGCAAACTATTGATTTTTGCTATTTAACCATCAAAAAGGGTAAATCTCACTGACTGACAGAAACATCTGTTTTTCTATCACACTTCAACAGTTCATTCAAGTATTGTGTTTTTCAGATTTCAAGTTTTCATGGAAAGTCTTCCTTAGGTTAACAATTAAGTTCAGAATCTCCTTTCAAAGCATATGAGTTAATGGCGAAAAAGGAGGAGTAGGGAAAATGTGCTTGTGGACAGAATTTTATAGAACATAGTGAGGATGATAAAGGTATTTTAATGAAAATGTTTTTAAAGAGCTCTTGCAGATGATGCATCAAATGCATGAGAACCAGTCTCTTCTAGGATTATGTTTTTTGGTTTTTTAACTTTAATAGGTCAAAGATTGCCTGTTAACAAAATAGCTAAGAAAAATAGCAGTTGTTGAAATATAGCAGGCCATTATATATAATAATTTATTATATACATTTTTTTAAATCTCTGCACCATTACTTTCTTGATTTGGTTCACAGGGTAAGATTGTATAATGAGTCTGAAGTCTCTAAGTCATTTTGCATCCTTTAGTTTCTGGACTGCTCCAGAGCCAAAATTTGGCTGATTTAGATAATAGCAGGATTAAAATATGGAATTCACTAACCCTCTTATAGCATAGGAAAAAAACTCTGTGCTTTCTGTGTTAAGAATCGTAAGGAAATTTACGTAGCTCAGTTCTTCACAGTCCTTGAGTCAATCCATCTTGTGACTTGTCTTATAAAAACATTTCACCAGTATCCCATCTCAGCAATATACATGGGCTTTAGTAGAGAAAGATAATCCTTCCCTTACTGTTTTGTTTAGAAAAATGTCTTCTAACTTTTGTTGAGCTTATTAGCAAATTGTACATTTGGGTCAAAGCATTAGTGGAAAAAGAGCTTTACATCAGTGTAGCTTTATACACCGGGGTGGTTTAATTTAACCTGAGTTAAACCCTTATTTTTAAACTTGATACAGCATGTGTAAGTTGTGGTTTAGAGGCTTGTATTGTATAGAGTTAAATTGGAGCTTAAAAAAAAGTGTATGGGTATATACAGTATAGGCAGTGTATAGAAGGCCAAAGGAAGTTTTCTTCCTGAGTAAACGTAGTTCCAAAGCTTGATGTGAAGCATACAGTTGCACATCTTTCCATTCTTGTTGTGCTTTCCAGGTGGTTCTCTTTTTTGGCATTGAAAATACCCATATTCTCAAAGGGCATGCATCTCCAGTGTTAGTACTCCAGTTACCATATTACAGACTTGCAGCACGATACTGCATTCTGTGTTATTTAGTAACTCTGAGAACAGGTATGTCCCATGACTGAGAGTATTGTTTAGAAACCATTAAATGCACCGAAGCACTAGTCATTCTTTTTATAAGATAAACTATCCTATATTTCTGGTGTTCTTGTTTACAGGTACAGCAAGTACAGACTGTACAACAGGTACAGCATGTCTACCCAGCCCAGGTTCAGTATGTGGAGGGAAGTGACACAGTCTACACAAATGGAGCTATGTAAGTTGGTTATTAATCAGAGCTAGAATGTTTAAGATGTGAATTTAAATGCATGTTCTTTTAATGACATCATATGGACTACTATATTTTAAATAGCAAAGAAAAATGTTTGAATAAAACTTTATTCTTGTTGTTATTTGGATGAAAACGGTTGAATTCACATCACTGAAATGTATTGAGATAGTTTTTGTCTAAAATGAATTCAGGTAACTCTTATAGTTGGACATTGTGAAGTTATATATGCAGTATTTTGTTGGGGGGGGGGGGGGGGGGGGGTTAACTCCATACATACCCATAAGCTCATGTTGATGGGAAGGATTATCTAAGTTTGTCATAATATGATCATCTGTGTAATAAAGAAGTCTTCATGTGGGCCACCTCTTCTAGTTGGAATCCTACTGGCAAATGCGTAAAATGCTGAGGCAGCTGCAGTCATTATTTACAGAAAGAAATTATGTAATTTCTTTACTGCTTAGTGCAATGAGATATATATTTAATATTTTTCCAATGGAAGAAAGGAAGAGGAAGGAGAGTAACACTGTATGTCCTTTTGCTTCTCTTTTAGACTTTTTTTCTATTTCTCATGCTTTCCTTGCTTCATTGAACGTACTTTTCCACCATCAAATTTCTTTCTCCCCTGTGCAAACTTAGAATCATAGAATAATGTAGGTTGAAAGAGATCTCTGGCAGTCATATGATCCAAACCCTCCTCCCCCCCATTCAAAGTAGGGTTAACTTCGAAGGTAGATCAGGTCACTCAGGGAGGAGCTTTCCTCTCTCCTTTTTCAGTTACCTCTAAATATAGCCCCTTGCTGTTTTTGTGTTGTGGATTCAGGAAGGAGCAAAAAACATGTAGGAAAGCTTGTTTGGTGCCAACAAATATATATTTATTGATGATAATCTGGCATTGATGCAAAAGAGTCAACACTGCTATTGGGTTCAGAAACTGATGTTAATGCTTGCAGCATCCTCTCCAGTGGCATATTTTGGCAAATTCATTCTTCAGTTAAACTTTTCTCGCATGCTGTCTTGTTTTCTGATTTTCCCCCCCCCCCCCCATTTCTAATTGATCTTCTATCATTAAGCAGGTCTTAATAGACTCATTTTTATTAGGAATGACAGTGCTTCCTTGTTTAAGATACTATAAAAATGGAAAGTCACTCATAAAATTGTTAGAAAATTTCAACTTTGGATTGCAGTTTCTGTAGAATGCCTTCTCAGGCTAACTTTGGTTTAATTTCTTCAAAAACAAGACATTGAGCTGTTGTGACAAAAGAAAACATGTTTCTTCATCCATGCATGCTTTTTTTTCTCTCTCTCTAATACTTTTACCCTTTCAGTTATGGACTTGAAACTGAGCATGATGTTAAAGCACACACTCTTCTTGCAGTTCATGAAACTTTGAGTTTATAGCTCACATGCTTGAAGTAGAGGTTTTTGTTTTACCATGTTTATATGTTAAATCTTCCAAAGACCAATGGATGTTCTCTAGGTGATCCTAAATGGGGCATCTCTTTGCCGCTGCTATTGATTGTGTCAATTTTGGGTTTTAGCACCTAATCTCTGAACAAAGAGTCTATTTTATTCCATATACAGGGCCTAGGAAGTACGATTGAGGGAAGCTATCAGATTCAAATGGAGAAATGAGCAAGTACTAAACCTGTGGTGGGAATAGAAAATGGATTGTGGCTATTAACATGGATCTTCTGTCATTCTCCTTTTATGGCCACGTGCTAGTCTAATTCTAACAAAAACCTCAAGCCCTCTCAAGAGAGTATTTACACATGAAAACAGCAACTAGGGGCAGTTAGCGAGTAGGAAAGGAAAACCTGAGTTGGCTGGTTAAAATGATTGGGACTGTGATCCAGTAAGCAGGAGAGGGTTCTGGACTTGGTTAAAGAGCTGGCGGAAGCAACTGGAAAGGCAGGAGCCAAGAACCAGTGAATGGGAAGAAGAAAGTATGGTGGCAGACACACAAATCTAACAGAGCCAGAGTGCATCATTGTCTGGAAAAAGAACTGAAAAAAAAAATCCACTGTGACTGGATAAGCAGCCCAGAAAAATTGTCTCCATACAGGAAGTCATGCTTCTCTGATTTTCCTGATATAACTGTTAACAGTTTCATTTGTAGACAGTACCTTAAAAGGAGATGGAAGGAGGAGCTGGCTGGCATAACGTAGTTCATAGTGCTATTTCATCCACCAGTAAACTTTATTTTAATATTGTTGATAACTTACCATAGAATAGTTAAGGTTGTAAGGAACCTCTGGAGGTACCTTAGTCCAAAGCCTTGCTCAAAGCCAGTCTAATTAGATCGGGTTGCTCAACTTGTCCAATCGAGTCTTGAACATCTCCAAGGATGGAGGTTCCACAACCTCTCTGGGCAAGCTGTTCCTGTATTTGACCTTCCTCAGTGAGGGTGGAGGGAGACAGGAAATCCTTTTCCTAATATCTAATCAGAACTTTCCATATTGTGTCTGTTGCCTCTTGTCCTATTGCAGCACACCTCTGAGAAGAGTCTGGCTTCATGTTCTCTGTATCCTCTGATCCAGGTAGTTGTAGAGAGCAATAGGGTGTCCCCTGAACCTTTCTTTTCCCAAGCTTGAACAGGCTCAGTTCTCTCAGCCTCTCCTCATATGTCATGTATTCCAGCCCCATGACCATCTTGGTGGCCCTCTACAGGACTCGCTCGAGTATGTCCATGTCTTGTACTGGGGAGCCCAAAACTGAACACAGGACTCCAGCACTGGTGAGAAATCTGAATAAAACGGAAGGATCACTTGCCTTGATTTGCTGGCTACGCTCTTGCTAATGTAGCCCAGGATGCATTTGGCCCCCTTTGCTGTAAGGGTACTCTGTTGGCTCATATTCAACTTGTCCACTGCGACCCCCAGATTCTTTTCTGCAAAGCTGCTTCCTAGAGAGTCAGCCCCTGGCCTGTATTATTGCATGGGGGTGTTCCATCCTGGATGCAAGACTTGGCATTTCCCTTTGTTGAACTTCATGAGATTCCTGTCAGACCATTTTTCCAGCCTGTCCAGATCTCTCTGAATAGCAGCTCTGCCCTCCAGTATATTGACCACTTCCCCCAACTTGGTATCATCCACAAACTTGGTGAGAATGCACTCTGTCCCATCATCCAGATCACTAATGAAGATGTTAAACATTATTGGCCCCAGTATTTGCCCTGAGGAATCCCGCTAATTACTGGCTGCCAGCTGGACTTTGTACCACTGATCACAATTCTTTGAGCCTCACAGACCAGCCAGTTTTCAATCCACCTTATTGTCCACTTATCCAGTCCATATCTCACTGATTTGATGATAAGGAGACTATGGGAGACTGTATCAAAAGCCTTGCTAAAGTCAAGGTATGCAACATCTGCTGCCTTCCTCTTGTCCACAGCACCAGTCACTTCATCATAGAAAGCAATCAGGTTGGTCAGGCATGATTTGCCCTTGATAAATCCATGTTGGCTGTTCCCAATCACCCTCTTGTCCTTTGTGCATTTAGAAATGGCTTCTAAGAGGATTTGTTCCATAACCTTCCCAGGGACTGAGGTGAGGCTGACTGTCCTGTGGTTCCCTAGATCCTCCTCCTTGAAGATGGGTGTGACATCTGCCTTTTTTCAGTCATCAGGAACATCCCCCAATTGCCATGACCTTTTGAGGATGATAGAGAGTGGCCTTGCAATGACATCAGCCATCTCCTTCAGTACCCTTGGATGCATCCCATCTGGTCCTATGGACTTGAGTACATCTAAAAGACTAAGTGCTCCTTAACTGTGTCTTCCTAGCTATAGGAGGTTGTGACCCTTAACTTATAAACATGAAGAATGATGTAAGTGAAAAGTGTAAGGTTAACTGGTTAATGGGGCCCAAATGTTTCATAGTTGGAAGGAATTTGGTTAAAGTATTACTGTTATGTACCTTTGACTTTTTGTCCCTTCACAAATCGCATCTCCCTCTTAGTTTTTCATCATAACACTGTACATATTGGTGTCCAATTTAAAATTTCACCCTGCAGAAATAACTGCATATCCTAAAATACCAATGAGCTCAGAATTTCAAGCTTCAATCAGAGAGCTACAATGAATTTAAAGTCAATACAGAACATTTATAGGACTGTCTTGGTTGACACTTGTATGTCTTGTGCACATTGCAAAACTGTAAACAGTATGCAAAATAAATAGTATTGAAATAAAAATCCAACTTTCACTGTAGAATTAAAAGTCACAACAAATTTTATAGTTTTATAAAATGCTATATAATGTATTAATACGTGTATGAGATCTTCCTCTTTGTCTCTTCAATTCTGATCATACTTCTCTCTGTCACTCCTTTTCAGGTGGGATTGATAAATTTTCATATGAATATTAATGAATATTTTAACCTTGAGTCATAAAGTTAATTATTCAGTGCTTTGACATGATGAAATGTTACTGTCTGTGGAGGCAGGGGTTGTTTGCCAATCCTATTTAGTTAGGTTATAGCAATTGTACGCTTTTTGCAACAATGATAATGTTGCCCTCACTTAAACAATACAAATAACTTACTACTACTACTTTTGTTTTCTTTTTCTGAAGACGAACAGCAACCTATCCTTACACAGAAACTCAGATGTATAGCCAAAACACTGGGGGAAACTACTTTGATGCTCAAGGAAGTTCTGCCCAGGTGACGACAGTGGTCTCCTCTCATAGTATGGTGGGCACTGGAGGGATTCAGATGGGTGTCACAGGAGGACAGCTCATTAGCAGCTCAGGAGGGACCTACCTGATTGGCAATTCAATGGAAAATTCTGGTCATTCAGTGACTAATACAACGCGGGCCTCCCCAGCTACAGTAAGTACTTCAGAACTATATGAAATCTTTGGGGCTAGTTTCTTAGTCGCTATGATGTTCTTGCATGCTGACGTGTTTCTGTATATTCTGTAGTAAAAAGCATATTATGTCGGCAGAATTAGTAATATGCGGCTCTGTCTTGCAGATATTTACATTTTATAATTTGTGCATGTGAATAGTGACAAGTGAGTGTATTGGGGATGCTCACATGCGTAAAAATGTGTATGAGACTGAAAATTTGTAGGATTGGGACCTGAAATCACTTCCTTGGACACTTTTTTTATTTCTCAGAAAGAAAGACAACAAAACATTGCTAAGAATGTTTATAACTAATATAACCAGTAAATAAAATAACTCATCTTAGAGATGTTAAACTTCACTGCATTTATTTTTTTTTGACTCCATATTATTGTTGGGTTTTGTAACTGATTTGAAAATATTTGCTACTTGTTCAGAATACTAAGAATATATATATTTTATACAAAGAGATGGAAAGATGCATTCTGTTACAACCATAATAGATAATATTATTAAAAACCTAACCATGAAGATATACATTCTCCTTTCCCTTAAGAGGTTACTAATTCCAGGGAAGTTAATGGGTTTACGCTTATTCTAGCTTTGCTGGATAGCCTAAATGAACACTTTTACCTAACCCTTGATGATATTCTGACCCAATTGTAGAGATTTGGAAATAATGTGCAAGAGAACTTGTAAAAACTTGCAGTAACAAGAGTTGAAAAATATCATGAAGGGAGTGATAGTGAAATAGAGCATGATTAAATAGCATTTATTTGTATTAATAGTCAAAAAGACTACTAAAATTAAAAAAAACTAAAGCAATGCTGCAGTTCATTTTTATTTGAATAGTACCTCAGCTAGAGCTCATTTCACTTGTGATCCTCATCCTACCTGCATCATCATAACATTTTTCGTATTTGTATAGAGAATTTAGAGATCAAAATAATATGTATTTAGACCTGTTTGCTATTGCAATACTCAGCAAGTGTTTTGAAATCTTTTGAATTAATTTTGGATAAATTTCACATGGAGACAAAGGGAATAAAAATGAATGAACTAGACGTGCTCATCATAACCTCTGTCACTCTTGCCATATCAGGATTTAGTTCTGTTTCACTGTTTATAACAGAATTCTTTTTGTTGTTATTTGCCCTCACTAATCAAATACTTAACTAATTTACTAGTTACGTAAGTTTGTAACATTGAAATAATTTTAGCCATTCCTGATAATTCTACTTTGGTTAAAAGAATGGTGACAGGTTAAAGTCAAATGTATAAAGGCCATGTTATTAACTGTGTCTTAAATAATGAAACTATTTTTACACTAGTTACGCTATTTGGTTTTTCTAAACTTCAAAAAATAGATAAACTCAACATTTTCACTTTTATCTTTTTTCTTATTTAATATAAGTTTGAGTTTTATTTTGGGTCTTAAATCTGCTGGGTTTGTTTGTTTGTTTCCATTCATACTAGTTTCTGTGAAACTCTTATGAAAACAGGAATTTTTAGCTCAAATGAAGCTGTCCTTTTCGGCCCACAACAGGAATCATTGGTATTTTTATGCATGAAAATACCAGGAGTTGTGCATTTTTTTGAAGTATTCTAGCATTAGTGCTTTATGTTAGTATGTATGAAGAAAACTTAAACATGCTAGCATGTCTCCATTGCTTCTTTCCATCAAGTGCTTAGATGGCCTCTTTAGTTGCAAAGTAATTTATTACTACTTATTAAGAAAAGAGTATCTCACTAAAATGAGAAGGTACCTGCATTAGAAGATCTTCTGTATCACGTATTGCTGAGATGAACAGCTTTGTAAAATGACTCTTTTGGTCTGAAGGTGTTTGGATGGGTCCAGAATAGATTGCAGTTGCACTATAGGGGGAACAGTTTACCCTAATGGATTGACTGTTGCAAATTATCTTACATGTTGTGTCTGGGTGGGTTACTGACAGTTACCATCAGAGGAGGGGCAGCTACAACAAAGAGGAATTATAAAATTATCTGCCCTATAACTCATAGAATTTAAATCACCTTACACTTTTCATATGTGTATGTCTAAGGACGTTTCTTAATGTCAAAACTTTCAAAACATGAATATAGTTATTAAATAAAAACCATAATATGTTTGGCAGCCAGTGAAGGGTTCCCAGCAGGGGATAGGATGCCTTCTAACGAGCAGTAGGATTGATCTGCAATTACTGTTGTTGATCAGTCATAATCAACCACAGGAACTCTCCACTCGCACTGCAGCAGAAATCTATTTTCACAGAATGATTGAGGTTGGAAGGGGCCTCTGGAGATTCTGTAGTCCAACCCCCTTGCTCAAGCAGGGTCATCTAGAGCATGTTACCCAGGATCGTGTGCAGATGGCTTCTGAATATCTCCAAGGATGGAGACTCTACAACCTCTCTGGGCAATCTGTTCCAGTGCTCTGTCACCCTCACAGTGAAGAAGTTTTTCCTCATGTTCAGACGGAACTTCCTGTGTTTCAGTTTGTGCCCGTTGCCTCTCGTCCTGTCACTGGGCACCACTGAGACCAGTCTGGCCCCATTCTCTTGACACCCTCCTTTCAGATACTTACACACATTGATAAGATCCCCCCTCAGTCTTCTCTTCTCTAGGCTGAACAGGCCCAGCTCTCTCAGCCTTTCTGCATGAGTTGCTCAGTCCTTTCATCATCTAAGTAGCCCTTTGCTGGACTTGCTCCAGTAGCTCCATGTCTCTTGCACTGGGGAGCCCAGAACTGGACACAGTTAAGGCTGAACCCGGGACTCCAGGTGAGGCCTCACCAGGGCTGAGTAGAGGGGCAGGATCACCTCCCTCGACCTGCTGGCAACACTCTGCCTAATGCAACCCAGGATACCATTGGCCTTCTTGGCCACAAGGGCACATTGCTGGCTCATGCTTAACTTGTTGTCCACCAGCACTCCCAGGTCCTTCTCTGCAGAGCTACTTTCCAGCAGGTC